AAAAATCACTTAGAAAAGATAGATGCTTGCAAGGCACCAGGGCCTGATGAAATGCATCCTAGAATACTCAAGGAGCTAATAGAGGAGGTATCTGAGCCCCTAGCTATTATCTTTGGAAAATCATGGGAGACGGGAGAGATTCCAGAAGACTGGAAAAGGGCAAATATAGTGCCCATCTATTAAAAAAAAAAAAAAAAAGGGAAATAAAAACAACCCAGGAAACTACAGAGCAGTTAGTTTAACTTCTGTGCCAGGGAAGATAATGGAGCAAGTGGTTAAGGAAATCATCTGCAAACACTTGGAAGGTGGTAAGGTGATAGGGAATAGCCAGCATGGATTTGTAAAGAACAAATCATGTCAAACCAATCTGATAGCTTTCTTTGATAGGATAACGAGTCTTGTGAATAAGGGAGAAGCTGTGGATGTGGTATACCTAAACTTTAGTAAGGCATTTGATACGGTCTCGCATGATATTCTTATCGATAAACTAGGCAAATACAATTTAGATGGGGCTACTATAAGGTGGGTGCATAACTGTCTGGATAACCGTACTCAGAGAGTAGTTATTAATGGTTCCCAATCCTGCTGGAAAGGTATAACAAGTGGGGTTCCGCAGGGGTCTGTTTTGGGACCGGCTCTGTTCAATATCTTCATCAACGACTTAGATATTGGCATAGAAAGTACGCTTATTAAGTTTGCAGATAATACCAAACTGGGAGGGATTGCAACTGCTTTGGAGGATAGGGTCATAATTCAAAATGATTTGGACAAATTGGAGAAATGGTCTGACGTAAACAGGATGAAGTTTAATAAAGACAAATGGAAAGTGCTCCACTTAGGAAGGAACAATCAGTTCCAAACATACAGAATGGGAAGAGACTGTCTAGGAAGGAGTACTGTGTAAAGGGATCTAGGGGTTACAGTGGACCACAAGCTAAATATGAGTCAACAGTGTGATGCTGTTGCAAAAAAAGCAAACGTGATTCTGGGATGCATTAACAGGTGTGTTGTGAGCAAGACACAAGAAGTCATTCCTACTCTGTGCTGGTTAGGCCTCAACTGGAATATTGTGTCCAGTTCTGGGCACCGCATTTCAAAAAAGATGTGGAGAAATTGGAGAGGGTCCAGAGAAGAGCAACAAGAATGATTAAAGGTCTAGAGAACATGACCTATGAAGGATGGCTGAAAGAATTGGATTTGTTTAGCTTGGAAAAGAGAAGACTGAGAGGGGACATGATAGCAGTTTTCAGGTATCTAAAAGGGTGTCATAAGGAGGAGGGAGAAAACTTGTTCATCTTAGCCTCTAAGGATAGAACAAGAAGCAATGGGCTTAAACTGCAGCAAAGGAGGTTTAGGTTGGACATTAGGAAAAAGTTCCTAACTGTCAGGGTGGTTACACACTGGAATAAACTGCCTAGGGAGGTTGTGGAATCTCCATCTCCGGAGATATTTAAGAGTAGGTTAGATAAATGTCTATCAGGGATGGTCTAGACAGTATTTGGTCCTGCCATGAGGGCAGGGGACTGGACTCGATGATCTCTCGAGGTCTCTTCCAGCCCTTGAATCTATGAATCTTGTTTCAGATGAATTGGGTTAATAAATGAAACAAATCAATTTGCTTTACCCTTTTACTCCACGTCTTTCCATCATTCCAAGTGTAGGAGGAGCCACTGGAATATTCACTGCAAGCACTTGATAGAGAGAGTTCACTGCTACTGCAACTGCTCCGGGGATATAGGCGACTGGGCCCTGTCGTATTTAATTGACTCTGGCATTTCAAGGCAGGTATACTGGATTTCACATTCTGCTGGCATTCCTAAAATACAAGAAGAAATGCAACAATCTTATGGGTAAAAACAGATCATTTTCTCTTCTACCTGATTGATTTAGTTAATAGGGCAAAATGCAAGTGTGCCATTTATACTTGCATTGTATTCCTTTAGGATCTGGTAAAAAATAATGAATAGATGTAAAATAAAAAGAAACAATTTAACGTTTAGCTTTATTAGAACAGAAAAAGTTCTCAATCCCTCCAATTCTTTTTATTTATTTACTGTGGCTTCAGTATTCTGCTGGTCTTTTTGCAAGAGTATTTTGAGTCTGTTTGAATTCTGCTGTAGATATTAGCAGCATGCTCCAGTAAGATATCACAAACTAAGTTATAAGAGTACAAGTACATCTTGACAACTGCATTATAGCCCCACAATGTAACAGATGAGGCTCTACCAACTGGACAAGGTAAATTAATTTAGTGTCCCAAACAGAATGTCCACCGAGAATGGAATCTCTCCATTACAGTCTAATTCTGGTTTCCTATCTAGTCCAAAGCTTTGTCTAAGAAACTCTCTGATGTAGACAATCCATCTTTGTGTCACTTTCAGACAGCTGAAGCCTCTTGCTTATGCAATTTATTGACACTTTATGGCTGCCTTTAGTACTTGGGTAGTTATCGCCCCTCTCCAAATGCAATTTCAGCTGACTGTGACTAAATGCCAGCTTTGAGGAAGAGAGTAATGAAGAGCAGATAGCACGTTAGGTAAAATATTAAACCTTTGTAGGAGTATCTAGGATGTGATTAATTTGTATTCAAACTAGTACTCTTGTGCCTAACAATGCTAGACTTTCTTTAACATTAAGTGCCTGCACTGTTATGTTGTTATGATGAGATCCTCTAATGCCATATAGAATCAGAAACTTTTTTAATTACCAGGAATACCAAAGAGCAACACTACTCCATTTTTTCTGAAAGTTGGCTTAGAATTTCATTAAAACTATAAAATAACCTCACAACCAAGCCTTAAGCAATATTTATTGATTTCCATTCTTGTTTATAGCCTGATGTAGTTTTGCTTAGATGGGTGTTTTCACATTTATATCCCAATAGGATACAAACAAATCTAAGGTTATATAATACATGAGCAGCTGGCAAAACTGTCAAATAGATTCAATGGATGTATAAAATGCCTCATGGAAATCTTTGGAAAATATTCAATTTAGAGACCGTTCTCCATATACTCTGTTCCATGCTGGGTTGCTTTTTGTGTGTGTGATTTCCCCCCATTTATTACTACAAAGGCCGTTTGGCTGAGAACACGATTTTTATTGCTGAGGAGTTCGTCAGCTACTGCTGCTCATTCTTCAAGTGACATCATAATGCTCTGTCTGTGACAAACCTAACTACATGGCAAATCATCGCTCCCTGTCATGGACAAAACCCCTGGATGGGAAAAATCAGTCAGCAGTAGCAGCAGCGAGTTTCACCTCAGGGAGTTATCGACACGTGTTCTAAGCAGTGAAAGGGGTGCAGAAGGACTAGCCTTCAAACTCTCCAGAGTGCCAGGTAATACACAGAGCACAGGCTTCTGCATTTCTGCAATAGAGTCCTTTGGCTTTGTTGATACATCTCTCTCTCTTCACCATTGGCATCATTCACTCCCTCTGCTGTCACTAGTTCCCCCTGCTATGCCTGCATGCTCCCCTACAGGTAGAAGGCATGGAGGCCAACAGTAGCATTGATTTCTGCTTATTATGGCATTTCAGCTGTGGTGCTAGATAAACATAAAATGTTCGGTGACTGCACTCTGAGTTCCACCCCATATAACAGGCCAGACATATCCAAAGTGCCTAGTGCCTGCATGGAAGGGCTGCTGTAGATTCTGGGAAAGGGAAGCACATAGCATGCTGCAGAACCCTCACTCCCCTCCCACCACCTTCTGCTGCTTTGGGAGCCTTCCCATCCCATCCTCTTTTCCCCTTTGTGCCTTAAGGAGGAGAGGGACATCAGGTCCTATGATTTCAGACTAAGAAGCAGATGGACATCTAAGCAAAAAATATTTTCATGTAAATACCGTTAATATTTACAGCAAGTAAGAAAACATGAAAAATATAGTGTACATCACTAGAATTCTCTCTAAATAGAATGTTCTCCAAACTTTCTAAATTTTAAAAGGAGGTTGGGTTTTCCTTCTATGAGCTGTCTAATTTTTTTAAAAATTCTGTTTAAAAAACCTTTAAAGATTATATTTATGATGCATTAATTACATATAGTTAACTTGCACATTGGTTAATTAATTTGAATTGCATAATCTGACTTTTTCCCCCTAATCATGACGTCTAAACCATCACCTTTAATGAAATTAGAGTACAAAAGCTCTCTGTATGAGTATAATTTAAACATGTAATTGTTGTTAGAAAGGAAAGACAACTGAATGAATCAAACAATTGCAGAGAGAAAACTGCATACTTAGAAAAATCTAACCTGAAGGCTAAATTACAGATTGTATAGAGGGTCATTAACATCTTTGTGAACCTTTGAAACAATGGCTTTCCACTAAAATATGTATTATTATAAAGCAGATTACATTTCTGATGACACTTTTATACTTTAAGATGAAAGGCACAGAAAGGCTCAGTTTTCTGTTCTCATCCGCTTTATTTCTCTCTCTTTATGTGACTTTTGTTTTTAAAGCTACTTTTCTCTCCGTCAATGAAACATGAAAGCCCTACTGGCTAAAGTTTTGCCAAATAAGCACAAAGCTAACCCCATCTTTTAAAAAAAAAACTGCAGAGACCATGAATTTTTAAAAGTTCATACATAATATATCATAAAAGTAGGATGAATAATATGGTGCATGGGCTTTAATAAAAAGCTCCTTGACCATTTCTCAGAGATTTTGAGATGTAATCAATACCCAAAAAGGTATCTTGGGGACATTGTCAAGATTTATGCTTTTTTTGCACAGAGTGACACTTTCTGTGTACTATATCAACCTGAGACATGATATTGAATTTCAGAGAACAGAAGAAAGGAAAGTATTGTTATCTGTCTCAACAATGGCTCACCCATGACATCGCACTTCACAGACAGAAATGAGTGCTCCAAATGAGGCACTCAAAGACAGCACAAAGACTCACATGAATCTGAACACCAGTAGTTCGTGATTGTATCAAACTTCTGTTCCTTTCTACATCTGAAAGCAAATCCCCAGACGAGAGATCTAAGATGCGTGAATGCAGTTTCTGGCAGAAGAGAATGACCAAAGCATAAACATTTGACAAATATGCAACAGATCAGCATTTTAAAAATTCCAAACCGTGCAGTTAAATTTCAAAGGAGAATAAAACCCTGTGGTAAAAGAGCATTTGTCCTAATTTGAAAGTTTTCCGTTTTACTGCTTACTGAGTCCAGGACCTGACGCACCAAGATTTTTCATCCAAAAAACCCTGAACTTTTTCTCCCTGAGACTGTTTCACAACTTATCATGATTTCACATGCAACAATGACAAAGTAATAGGACCACAATCATATTTATCCATAGAGTCTGGCAAGTTTGAATTAAAAAAGTATAAAAATGAATGATGAAATTAACATTTATAAAGCAATCAACACATTAACCTTGTTTTATTTAGCAGTTGCTACAGCCTGAGTGAATGATTATAAAAGTGACCCTATTTCTAAACGGCATTGATCTTGTGAAGCCCTGCCTTGCACACATTTTAACTCAAAGTCATTAATGTCATCTGTTAGGAACAATTAATATGAATAGAAAATAATTGCATCAGGGAGCAAGGGACTCAGAGGATTTTGCGCATTAATATTCACATGCTGTTCAATTACATATGCAGTCCTTTATTTCAGTTTTGCTTGGAAGGCCTGCTAACCTGGTGCCATTTCCCCCATATTAATCTGTACACTAATTACCAAGGCTTTCTGTATAGAATAAGTCTGACCTGTTTTAATTGCAAATGTATGATTTATCTGAATGTTGTTTCTTGACCAATGACTTCAAAAGAAAAAACAGCAATATCTGCTGTCCAGCTGCTCATGCGAACCAAACTTTTTGATCAGGGCTGGCTCTGGCTTTTTGGCCGCCCCAAGCAAATAAATAAATAAATAAATAAATAAACGGGGAGGCCAGAACGGCAAAAGACAAAAAAAAAAAAAACCAACCCTAGCGGCGCGGCCGGAGCGCGGGCGTAAGGGGACGTGGCGGGGGGGTTGGGAGAGGGAGCGGGCGGGAGAGAGAGAGAAGGGGGCGGCCAGGGCTACAGCAGGGGCGCTGCCACGCGGCCCCTCCCGCTGCGCCACCTCCTGCCACCTGCCGGGAGGGCTCCGCTCCGGTCGGCGGGGAGGGAAGGAAGAGGACTGCCCTGCAGGGCACTCTGGTTCTCCACCCCGCCACCCCCTACAGGGCGGCCGGAGCGGAACAAGAACAAAAAAAAAAGTGGCCGTGCCGCCCTAGGATTGGGCAGAATGCCGCCTCCAACAATCTGCCGTCCCAAGCACCAGCTTGCTCAGCTGGTGCCTGAAGCCGACCCTGTTTTTGATTATAGATACTTGGGATCTGATCCATAGTTCACTGAAATATATGAAAAGGTTCCTATTGACTTCAATGAGCTTTGGATCAGGCCCTCTGGTAAGATCCTGCCCATCCTCGCTGCAACCACGGAAGAATCAAGAGATTGGAACTGCTAAGTTCATGTCGTGCATGGCTGTGGGTGTTGGAAAGGGGTGAAGGAGAGGCTGCAGAAAACCTGCCAAGGAAACTTGGTACCCTAGGTTACGCTGTGTAGGACACACCCTATGGGAATGTGGAGATGGTGCAGTGGGGCAAGGCAGTGGACCCAGAAACTGTTTATCCATGGGTCCACAAATATTAGTATGAGGGGGAAGCAATAGCTTGCAGCCGCTAATCCTACCTATATCCAGGTGGAGCAGTGGCAGAGCAGCTCTACACAGGCTTCTGCAAGCTGGGACTGAGGCTTCAGCTCAGCACCACACGCAGTGCTCAGCCTGCTTATCAGGCACTCACCTCTACAATTTCTTCCTCTGGAGAATGAATCATCCAGAAATAGACATCTCTGCTTTAAGCCTTTGTTGTTCACAGCCACTATTGCAAACTGACTTCTATTCCAGGCAATTTAGTACTTTTAACCACTAATTATTAATTTGGGAGTAATTTTGCAGGAGTTACATAGTCATTTCATTTTCATTCAGTGTGTTGTTTTAACTGGTGCTATCCTGTTTCAGTAAGATTATGGGAAAATGTTGAATAGATGCCACAAACACTTTGCATTCAGTATATTTTTCATTATAAATCTTTACTACACCCAGTGTACATGTCTTTTAACACAGTGTCAGTTATATCTATTCTCCAGTTATTGAATGTGAACCATTTAAAATATTGTTATTGTAATTGCAGGCTGATGTTTGCCCAAAATTTAAATACTGACTAATTACACCTTTCCAAGCTCACAGGTTTACAATGAACTCAAAGTTAGCCTTTAACTGAAAGTCTCCCAACTGTATAGTTGAGCCACCAGAAAATTCAAATTGGTTCAGACACAGGAATCTTTGATGCTATGCAAAGGTGTTGTTAGGTAGGGCCCTTTGAAAAGGGATGTCTTTCCTCCAAAGAGACCAATTTTCTGGTCTCTCCTTGCAGAGGATTTTTAGTGCAAGTTTCTGTACTTTAAGTCATGCATTAGTCTGGAAAATTGGGGATGTGTGAGGGGAATGGACACTAACGTTTATTTCCCAAGAAAACATACTGGAAATACGACTTCAGGAGTTTTACATCCTGAAGACTTGCTTCAGGGTTTGTCAGTCCCTAAAAATATTTTGAAAATAAATATTTTATTGTACATGAGTTAGCAATACTGATGGCGGTAAATAAAGAAGTGAACAATATAATTTGTTATGACAATAACTATCACATGAAACTAAGTACATCGCTATATCATTCTTGTGAAACATAATGCCAGCTCACTCAGCAAGAAGAAAATAAAATCAAGAAAGAAAAAGAAATAATCGCTCAAATAACAACCTAAATTAATTTTAAAAAGTAAATTGTTAAAAGTTATAAATTATTGGGCTTAATACAGGGGTAAATGGGTGACATTTAATGGCCTATGATATACAGGAGGTCAGACTAGATGAGCTAATGAACCCTTCTGGCCTTAAACTCTATGAGCCTTTAAATAATAAAAGTAAATCAGCAAAATAATAGAGAAGAAAGAAAGGAAAGTGGGTTCTCAAGATCTATAATACCACTACATATCTGTATCAAATAGACAAATTAAGTAATTATCATACTGGAAACGTTCACCATCATACAAATCACAAAAGAATCTGGGGGTTATAATGGATCACAAATTGAATATGAGTCAACAATGTGATTCAGTAGTGAGAAAGGCTAATATCATACTGGAGTGTATTAACAGGAATGTCATATGTAAGATACAGTGGATAATTGTCTCACTCTTCTCAGCTGGAGTATGTTTCCAGTTCTGGGTGCCACACTTTAAGACAGATGTAGACAAATTGAGAGAGTCAGAGGAGAGCAACAAAAATGATGCAAGGTTTACAAAACCTGACCTGTGAAGGAAGGTTAAAAAAACTGGGTATGTTTAGTTTTGAGAAAAGAAGACTGAGAGGGTAACAGTCTTCATATATGTTAAGAACTGTTATAAATAAGCTGGTGATCGATTGTTCTCCATATCCACTGAAGGTAGGACAAGAAGTAATGGGCTTAATCTGCAGCAAGGGAGTTATAGGTTAGATATTAGGAAAAGCTTTCTAAGTATCAGGCTAGTTAAGCACCGGAGTAGGCATCCAAGGGAGTTGTGGAATCCCTGTTATTGGAGGTTTTGAAAAACAGATTAGACAAATGCCTGTCTGGGATGGTCTAGTATACATAGCCCTGCCTCAGTGCAGGAAGCTGGACTAGATGACCTCTTGAGATCCCCTCCAGTCCTACATTTGTAGGATTCTATGAAATCAGCTGTAACAGATACATAGCCAGCAGAACGACCTACATTAACAAAGTTGAAAGAAGCAGAACAAAGTTTGTATTAAGATAATTAAGGAAATATAGCCACACAGCAATGAAACAGTAATTATAAAGTAAAAATGTCAGGAAAATAATTTCCCCCTATATTCATTTCTTTTCTCTAAGTGATAAAGTATAAAAAAAACGAAGAAGTATAACGTTGCGTATTAAAAATGTCAATACATTTACAAAATGAAAAAATATTGTACAAAATGTGACTCCCTCCCCCCCCCACTGATGACTTCATCTCACCTAAGCTCCAGTGACATGATGCAAACTATACTGTATTGATCATGGACCTTCTCACATGATACACTTGTTTACATTACAGCATCTGTGTAATGATACCTCTGTGCTGAAAATAATTTGATTTTTAAAATATTGTTGATGCCCTTGGGTGCAGCAGAACAAAATAGAGTACAAGAGGAGATTATTCTTCTTGGACTCCGTGTAATATGGAGAACTTCCATGCATGAACTTTCCTTGCCTAAATAGGAGAGGCAATCAGGTGCATATATACATATATGGAGATATACCTATCTCATAGAGCTGGAAGGGACCCTGAAAGGTCATCAAGTCCAGCCCCCTGCCTTCACTAGCAGGACCAAGTACTGATTTTGCCCCAGATCCTTAAGTGGCCCCCTCAAAGCTTGAACTCACAACTCTGGGTTTAGCAGGCCAATGCTCTAGCCCAGGGATCGGCAACCTATGGCACGTGAGCCGATTTTGAGTGGCACGCAGCTCCCTGCCGCGGTCCCGGCCCCCACCCTACTCAGCCCCCCCCGCCCACCGCTCTCCCCTGCGGGGGCAGGAGGCAGAAGCTTGGTTCTGCGACAGCCAAGCTTCCCCCCTCCCCCGCTTTTCCCCCCAGAGTGGTGCTTTCCTGCCCCTCCTCCTCTCCTTCCCTGCGCCAATCAGCTGATGGCTCTAGCGAGGGGGAGGGGGAAGAGTGGCAGCGTGCACACAGCTCCGTAGAGGATGCAGAGAGAGGTAGGGACGGAGCCTGGGGGAAGGGGGTGGAACAGGGCATATCCCTTCCAGGGGCTGCCATGAGCCGCTCAGGGTAGGGGGCTGGGAGCACCCCCACGAGCCAAGCATCCCAGCCTTCTGCCCTGCACCCCCCACACCCCTCAGCCCTGAACCCCCCCAACACACACACAGCCTTCTGCCCTGCACCCCCCCCTCCAG